TCACTGTACAGAAATTCAATTGATTTTTGTATGTTTATGATATTTTGGCACTTTTCCTGAGTTGGTCAAGTACAGAAATCTAATTGATTTTTGTATGTTGATTGTATTTTGCCACTTATCCAGAGTTGGCCAACTATGTCTAATAGTTTCCTCATTGCTTCTTTAGGATTTTCTTAGTATCATATCTTCTGCATATAGAGTTAATTTTACCTCATTTTTCAGAATTTGGATACCTCTTATTTCTCTTCTGTATTGTTATCTCTAAGGAGTCCAATATAATATTTCATAGAAAAGGTGATAGCGAACATCCTTGCCTAGCTTTTGTTCAAAGAGGGAACAATTCTCTCCCTTGAGAATGATGTTGGCTCTTGGGTTTGCATATATACTTTTTACTAGTTTGAGGAAATTCCCCTTTATCCCTATTTTGTTGAGTGTTTTAATCAAGAAAGGGTGTTGGATTTTTGTCAAAAGCCTTTTCTGCATCAATTGATAGGATCGGGTGGTTCTTGTTCTTTGCTTTGTCAATATGATGAATTACACTGATTTTTTTTTCCTTATTTTGAACCATCCTTGCATACTTACTATGAATCCAGCTTGGTCATAGTGATTTTTTTTTTAATGTACAATTGGATTCTTTTGGCCAGGATTTTATTGCGGATTTTTTTATCTATGTTCAGATATCAGCCTATAGTTTTCAGATATTGCCTTATAGTTGCGTATTTTTTGTGGTGTCTTTATCTGATTTTAAATTCAAGGATATTCCTGCTTCATAGAATGAGACTGGAAAATTCCATATTTTTCTATTTTAGGAAATACTTTATGTAGAATTGGTGACAGTTCTTTTCTGAATGTTTGATAAAACTTACTAGTAAAATCATCTTGTTCAGGGCTTTCTCTTTTTGCTGTAAGTTGTTTTATTACCTGTTCAATTTCTTCTTTTGTAAAGGGGCTGTTCAGGTTTTCTACTTTGGCCTGTTTCAGTTTACGTAGTTTGTGAATTTCTAAGTATTTGTCCATTACATCTAGGCTTTTATATTTGTTTGAGTATAGTTTCTCATAATATTCCATTGTTAACTTTTTTATTTTAGTTGATTCTTAGTTTCTCATAATATTCCATTGTTAACTTTTTTTATTTCAGTTGGTTCTGTTGTGACATTGTCCCTTTCACCTCTTATTCAGATTATTTGTGTCATTTCTTTCTTTTCCTTTGCTAGTTTTGCTACTGGTTTGTTGATTTTACTGATCTTTTTGAAGAATCAACTCCTGGTCTTATTGATGGTTTCAATTCTTTTTCTATTTTCTATTTCATTTATGTCTGCTCTAATTTTTATAATTCCTTTTTTTAGAGGGTTTTGGGTTTTCTTGCCATTCTTTTTCAACTTTTTGAGATGTTGGATTAAAGAATCAATTATGATTTTTTTTCCTTGCCTTTTGATGTGTTTGCCCATTGCAATAAATTGACCTCTAATTATTGCTTTGGCTATTTCCCATAAATTTTGGTAAGTTGTGTTTTCATTGTCATTTGTTTCAAGAAACAAATTTTTAACTTAATTTTTTATTTCTTCTAGTACTCACTCATGTTCAAGCAAGGTGTTGTTCAGCTTCCAAATGTATGATTTCTTCTCTTTTATTCTCTTGTTATTAATTTCTAATTTTGTAGTACTGTGGTCTGAAAAGATACTTTGTATATTTTCTACGGTTTTGTAATTTATTGATGCTTGCCTTGTGACCGAAATGGTTATCTATTCTGGTGAATGTTCCATGTACATTGGAGAAAAAGATATTCTGTGCTTTTGAGGGGTGCATTAGTCTGTGTATGGTTATGAGATTGAGTTGGCTTATTGTGTGGTTACTTCTTCAGCATCTTTGTTGGGTTTCTTTCTGGTAGTTTTATCTTTTCTTGAGAGTGGTGTATTGAAGTCTCCTACTACTATTTTGGTGTTATCTATTTCTTTTTTTCAGTTTTATTAATGTTTTCTTTGTATACTTTGCAGCACTATCATTTGATGCATAGATATTTATAATGGTTTTGTTCAATTGACCCTTTATGCATTATATAGTTACCTTCCTTTTTCCTTTGTGATGGTTTTTGTGCTGGAATCTATTTTATCAGTGATTAATATCATTACTCCTGCTGTTTTCTTGTTATCATTAACTTGGTATATTTTTTCCACCCTTTTATTTTTAGTTTTTCTTTATCTTCACTTTTCAGGTGTGTTTTTGTAGACAGCATACTGAAGAGTTTTGATTTTTCATCCAATGTACTATTCTTTTTCTCTTCACTGGTGCATCTAAACCACTCACATTCTGAGTGTCCAGGGTTTTTTTGCTGCCATTATGTTCTTTTTGGTGTTGTTTCTGGTTACTTTGGCCCATCCCGCTTTCTGTGGCATCTCTGAAAGAAGGACTTCTCTCAGTATTTCCTGCAACACTACTATTGTTTTAAAAAATTCCCTTAGGTTCCATTTTTCTGAGAATGTCTTGATCCCTCTTTCATATTTGATGGGCAGTTTTTCTGGTACATTATTCTTGGTTGGCTGTTGTATTGTCTGGGTGTTTATATATGTCATTCCACTGTGTTCTTGCCCACATGGTTACTGCTAAGAAATTGGCCCATAAACTTATTTGCTTTCTCTTACAGGTTACTTTTTGTTTCTCCCTAACTGCTTTTAGAGTTCTCTCTTTATCTTCGAGTCTGGTACATTTGACTCTGATATGCCTTGGTGTTTTTCTTTTGGGGTCTATTCTATATGGTGTTCACTCAGTTTCTTGAATATATATTCTGTCATTTTTCAGTATGCCTGGAAAGCTTCTTCTTGTAGTTCTTCCACAACTTTCTTGGTGCTTTTACTTGCATCTACCTATTCTGGCATTCCAATTATGAGCATATTATTTCTCTTGATTCTCACCCACATTATTCTTAGTCTTTCTTCTTTTTGGTTCTGCTTTTTGTTCTGGTAGATAATTGTTGAGAATTCTAACCTCTATTTTATGGTTCTGTGTTCCTTCTCTTCTACTCTTTCCATATGTCCCTTCAAAATGTTGACAGCATCTGAAACATTGGTTGTTTCAGATGCAGATAAAACAAATGAGAAATTCAGAACTGTAGGCTCTACTTTGAGTCATCTGAGGAGGCTGGCCTTCTCCAGTTATATTTTGAGTATCTTCCAAACTGAGGGCCTCATTTTCATTTTTCATGTCCTTGACAATCATGTGTAAGCTGATTGGTCGCCTGGATTTAGTCAGCAATCAGCTGTGGGCTAGTAGCCTCTTGTTAAGTCAATAAGGACCAGGAGGGTGGGCCTTTGTATTTAAAAGACTGTTGGGCCCAAAGGCCGATTTTAATTGGATTTGGGAAGAACACTGTTCTTAGTGGTTCTCTCAGTTTGCTGTCTAAAATAATTTGAGGTTTCTGTGGACTGGGTTTGCTAGAGCTCTCAGATTAAGGTAGGCTTGGAAGCAGGATGGGCATTCACTCTTAAAGAACAGGCCTTTGGAAACTCTATGAACATTAGAGAAATGATGATAGTTATAGAATAGGGTTCACATCTTTTGTTCATAGGGTTGCTATGAGTCCTACTCAACTCAACGACACTTAACAACAACAAGAACAACAACCATTCTGTGTTCTGACATAATAAAAAGAACTGGAGAGTCATTAAAATAAGAGAATATAGAAAAATTAAAAAAAAACTCTGTTGGACATATTATCATACTTAACAATTGATACAGTTTTTCAATAGAAAGATAACTAATGTAAAATTTAACTAGTTTGAGTCACATTTATAATTAGATTTTTGGTGGTTTTATTGTTTGTTTCTTATTTTTTTGTTTTGAGTGACATTTCACAAATTATACCAGATTTTCATTCAATGACTCATACACATTTTATTTTATAACATTAATTACAATTTATCAAAATAGTTAATTAAATTATCAATTCAAACCTTATTGTATATTGTTTTCCCTTTCTCTAACTTACTTCGTAATTATTTTTCCCCTCTCCTCTCTCTTCCTTCTCATCCTTTTTAAAAGTACAAATTAATTAACATTTACAATTTATCAAGATCCATGCTATTATCATGCATAGAAATTATAAAGTATGTCAGTCATTATAGATATTGCTGGTGATAGTCATAATTTTAGTATACTCAGAATAATGAAGAAGACCCAGAACTTTTGAATTTGAGTATGCCCTATGAGTACTAGGAAAGCTATCTCACCTTTCTGAGCCTCAGTTTCCCCTTTGGCAAAACTGAGGTTAAAAGACAGCTATAGTGAATCAACAAATATGAAATGCATATATGAGGGAGTCCAGGTAGGTAGCTTCGTGGTAAGGAGTTGTGCTTCCAACCCAAAGGAAGGCAGTTCAAATTTCCATACTGCTTCTTGAGAGAAAGATGAGCAATCTCCTCCCGTGTAATTTGCAGCCTCTGTAACCCTCTGGATGGTTAGCGCTTACTCAATGGAACATAACAATAACAACAAATGGTCCTTCATCAATCTTAGGTAATGAATGTCCATCTTGTCTATTACCTCTAACAATGAACATCTGTCAGGGCTGTGGGACTATACCTGCTAACTAACCAGTGCAGTGTTATGACAAGCAAGATACTCATTATCTAAAGACTTGTGTTACTTTTTGGAAAAAAGAATCCAAGTTTCATCAACTTTAACCATTTTCAATTACTAGTTAATTGTGCTTCACATGCTTTACAAACATTATAGGCCTCATTCAATGTAATTTTGATTGGTGGTATTTTCCTTCACAGGTTTCAGATAAAGGAATTGAACTTACCAAGACTTGGCCAAGGTCCCCAGGTCAGTCAGTCTCTGAAATGTAATCTCCTTGGTTACCACCTATACTTCTTTCACCAACAGAAATCCTTCTTTGTAATTCCTTTCAGTAGCCTGCCATTCTTTTACACATTTATTGTAAAGTCAATTATGTTTCATCCTTAAGAAAATAGAGGAAATATCTGTGGATATGTGAATGTAACTTACTGATTTGTGATTGTATACAAGGGTTTAAAGGTTCGAGTCTTGGCTAGAGATGTGAGGTCTCCAAAGGGTTTATCAGTATCATCAGTGTTTGTGGATTCCACATAACCACTGTGAAAAGATAGAAAAGATGCATGCTTGTAATATATATACACACAGTATTCTTATTTTTAAGTTTTATATTATTTATTACTCAGCGGAAATTCCAACATGATACACTGATGTGATTTCGTGCATTTAGGGAAGAAACGCATCTTAAGTGAGAAATTGTGCGGATGGCTTCTGGAAGACCTTCATTCCAAGTGGCTTTTTACAAAAGAATTTCATTTAGAAGTCAGGGCCTATTTTCTTTAGTTTGCTGTAATCCACATCCATCGAGTAAAACTTGTATTGATCACTGGGGCCTAGTTTGTTTCATGGTTCTGGGTTATTCTTTCTGTCGCAAGAGACATCTGGATTAAATAATGCCAGAGGCATGACATACAATGCTGTTCCAGTACCTCCAGCTCCAATGAACAGAACACAAAGAGAGGTATCAAGCTTAAGTGCTTCCTGGATTGACCGAGGGTCTGGCAGAGCACGTATGCGGCAGAGCCCTCCTGGGCGGAAGGAGAGGATATGTAAAATAGAAAGGCCTTATAAACAGGACTCCTCTCTGCCCCAAGAGCTGGCGTAAAATGTCACCTATATACAGTATTGTAACTTTAAACTGAAATCTCTTTGGCAAAAAAAAAAAAAAAGAAGAAGAAGAAGATCAAATTTCATTTTTTTTATTAAATTTTATAAGTTTTAATGAACATTTATAGAGATTTTGGGTTT